CGGTTTTCAGAGGAAGAGAATCTATTCATGCCATACTGACAAAACCTTAGTTAATGACTGGGAGTATCCAGGGAACAAGTCCCTTATAGCACCCCCCACACACCGTAAGTTCCTTGAGACATTGGGCCAAAGCTGCTTAATGTTGTGTACCAAAGCCAGCGACACAGGACTCACAAATTGAGAGATGAAGCCTGACATCCTGATTAAAGCTGGCAATACGTCACATCATTGTCAGCTTTTGTGTATTGGCTGCAGGAGTTGCCATTACCGTAATTGGTGATTTCTGTCTGATAGACTACAAAAGACATCAGGCTTAGGACTTAGTAGGTGGGCCTGGTGGACGGTTTGCTCTCCAGGATGTGAAGCCTCTCGTAGACCCCCGTCCCAATTACCTCTCAGACACTAACACACAACCACTTCTGCTCACTGTGGCGGACATCCTCCAGCTTTACTTCCACAATCCACGTTTTTATCAGCTAATTGGGGACAGACAGATTTAGTCTTATGTACCTTTAGTCAGATTAAGGTGACAAACAAATAAAAACTCTGCATGGCGTTGTTTGCTAAGTCTCTCTTCCTGTACTACAATTACTTTAAGTGTGTGTGCTCAGTGTGTGCACCTGCCTCAGACCAGATGCTGCTGACCTCAGACCACTTCGCATTGTCATCAACTTTGATTTAATTATAGCAACTTTAGGGAAGACGTTATCCCCGACCCGTCACGTGATCCACAGATTTCAACTTTAAAAAATGATGGCATCATAAACTCATGATCTGGAGTTCCATGAGTGTATTTCCACCTAAACCCAGCGTGCAGAGAGCTGGCCTTCACTGTCTCCTCCCATCTACGTCTCATACCAAAGTGTACTGGTCTTAGCAATTGTGACATGCTTTTTGGCAGCGTTCGACTGCGAGGAACCGCACGATGGGGAGATGATTCAGGACGAATTTACAAATTTAATTAGCCTCATCTCTGAGGACACGGGCTCTTCCAGCTTTCATTTAGATATAATCTTTCTTCGGAGAATACATTTCAGCACACGGCTCTCACAGAAAAAAAAAAGCTCGGCTCTCTACTGACAAAACAGATAATGGAAGGTGGCCTATTGGTTATATTAGCAGCGAAAAGTGGGGAAAATAGCAGCCACCAGCAGTATTTGACATTTTTAATTGAAAATAATCTAATGACAACCTATTGATTATGCAATTCATTGCCCACTTATTTTGTGTTTATTGATGGATCGGTTCAATAACTAATCACTGCAGCTCCACTGTGGCACAAGTGCAAACACATTGAACTAATTAGAGTGTGTTGGGCCAACTCACTAGTCATTATTGGCGTCAAAGGGTGTAACGAGCAGACAATGTCAATTGCCTTACACCACAAAGTAAATGTTAATTAAAGGAAAAATATACTTTAAAAGATACGACGTGATTAAAACTGAACCTCGCTGGTCTAATTCAAAGCCTTTTTCATCTTGCGGTTCTCCAAAACAGAGGATTCCTACAAGATTCGGATCATTACATGGGGAAAAAAAGAACACTATCCATAACACTATGTTTAAATAAGAGAAAGGCTTTTGGCCACATTTATCAATCTGCACCAGCGTTTGTAAAGTTCAAGAAAACCGCTTAGAAGAAGAGCAAATACATCAGTTTCTTCACATATTGGCTCAACAAACAGCACCAGAAAATGTCTCGGGGTGAGAAGATAGGAATGCATTAAAAACGGACATGTAGGCAACATTAACCCTGTAATAATGCCAAATGTATCATATTTGATACATACTGTTTCTGAAATGTTTTGCGTCTCACACCTTTTGCATAATTTAATGGTAAAAACTTTGCTCAAAATCCTAATTTACACAATTAGATACACCTGATAACAGGGGGCAGAAGACTACACAAAAATAATCTTGACTTATTGCATAGTAATAAATGATTAATATAAAAAATGTATTTCGTTTTTTTTCTTTTTACATAATTTGTTAATAGGCCAAATAGGAATTCAAACCCCAAAAAAGTAATTTTCTGTTTTGTTTTATTATTGGATCAGGCTTTAAAGGGTTAAAGTGAAGGAGAAGTCAAAATAAAGTGCATAGCAAGAAATGTAGCCCTGGAAAAGGGTCCAACGTTGTTCTTTCTCTCAGTTCAACTCAAGCAAACACTCCCCGTTCTTTAAAATATATCTACACCCACCAGCCTGTGTTCCTCTGACAGTAACTCATCTCTTTACAGCTAAAATGTGATGTTCTCGCACACTTAGTCAACATCCATTAAATCACAAGGTTAAACGGCCAATTATATTCTCCCAGCAGGTCTTGCAGCGCGTCAATCAAACACTCCTGGCCGGGACTTAGTCCCCACTGTCCCGGGATGCTGGGGAAAGTGCACAGAGGCTGGACGGCTAATGGAGATCAGGCCCCGCGCAAGCTAGCACACTGTGCATGAGGCTAGCAGCTATCAAGGCTTTCTTCTTGCCCTGGTAACTTCTTCTAGCCCAGATGTGAGGCCCATCTGTTCCACGGCGGCTGCCAGCGTCCTGTTCGGATCCTCGTCCGCCATAATCTTTTTACTGTTGTTTTATTCCAAATAATTAAAAGCAACCTCCCAGATGGCTGTGATACTCACTTTGATAAGCACAGGGTTTGAGCACGGCTCCCGTCTGGAGCAGGGGACGTGCGCATGAGGAAGCTAGCCGCCGTCGCGTCTTGGTCAGGGCCTGAAAGAGTTCCAGGCGACAGCTTTTGAGGGTCAGAAGGTGGCCTGTAATGGCCAGCAGCCTGCTTGAGCGAAGGCAAGCGGACTTTTTGGAATTTTTTTTTTTTTTCTCTTCCTCTCACAAAAGCCAAAGTGGTCTGCCACAAACTCATTATGATTTCCAAGTGTGATGATCTGTATAAATGGGGTGGGGGGTGGGGGGGTGAAGCAGTGGGTTGAAGACATAATTAGTTTTCCTCACTGCAGGAGACAGTATGCTGATGAGACAATGAAAGAGGGGAAAAAAAGCAGAGCTGTCAATCTCCCGATTCCTTCTCATCTCTCTAAGGCACCAGTGAGTAATGCTAGCAGACCCCAAAAAAAGCCTCCACGCCCTGCAACTGCACTGCACAACTACGGAGTGCCAAGTCCACGGCCATAAACCATTTCATAAAACTCCAGACGGAAGGAAAATCAAATACTATAAAAGCCTCAGCGAGTACGGCCCAGGTCTCGTTCAGTCAAAGGACGGAGAATAAAAAAGGCTCAACACCTTAGACGGAACAGAGAGAAACACACAGGGTAGAACAGAATATCTCTGACTGGCAGGAAAACACTCCCCGGACTGCAAACAGTTGCTTTTCCTCCACAGAAACATACCACAGCCTGCAGAAAACAGCAATCAAAGTTTCAGACTTTAGGTGGATCTATGTGTATATGTGCTTTTTCTGGGAGGGAGCGTTCTGTTTCGGGCACCTATGGCATGCTTGGTTTTTTATTACCCTTGGAAGTCTTTTTAACTCCTCCAGCAGGAAATGAAACACTCCAATGACTCTATTGCAAAGTGCCGAAGCCATTTACAGCCAGGCCGTGACATTCCCGAGCATGTGTTCCACATAAAGAGAGGCTCGGGGAGCCACAGGTGCACGCCGCCGGGGTGTGTGTGTGCGTGTGGTATGTGTGTTTGCATGAATGTACATGGGAGAGCAGAAAGCGTGCAAGAGAGCAGATAAAGAAAGCGACAAGAAAGAGTGTTTGGGTGTTTACTGGGGCCTTACAGACACCCGTAGGCAGCAGACTGAGGACTGCAGCATTCCAGAGCCACCACTGACTGGTCCAGGCTTTAAAGAACACAACTTTAAATATGAAAGATAAAGGGAACTTTTATCTGGTCGACGAGATAGCCACAAATGATTTGTGTGTGATTTCTGAACAACTGAAAACAGAAAGCTTATAGATCGCATGGACGATCTGATCCCTAAATAAATAATAAATATATGCACTTCAAAGCAGTGTAAAAAGAAAGTGTCAGATCAATACATTTGAGGTTGAGATGCTTAAGGCTGTCAGATTTGCGCCTCAGCTGGAATTCCCGAGAGCAGATGCACGCCTACGACAAAACAGGAATCAGAAGAGAACTCACATCCATTAATGTGGAAAGATGAGTGTTGCTAAGCGCTAACTAGCATGAGAACATGGCCTGTTGTCCTTATTGTGCCATCTTGGTAAACCCCACTATAATGCTGATGGTTCTTTTAGACCGGATCCTCAGAAATAGCAGGAAACATTGATGAATATCACTCAGGCTCAAACTAAAAACTGGAAAAGGACGGGCTATTTATAATATTTTTGGTTACAGCGTAAATATATATCTCAAACTGCTGACAAAGCTCCGATAGCAGGCACCAGGTTCCCCTGATCAGACCAGACCAGAAAAAAAAGCGGGCCGAGGGGGTTTGGCTGCTACCGACTCCAGAGTCTGTGTGTAACAGAAATAACATGTTTTCTTTCCAATCAGAACTCATCAGAATCGATAAACAATTAGTGTTAGTTTGTATTGGTTTAGAACTTTCTCAGCTTCATCAACAGCCTGTTGGGACTTTATTAAAAAAAATATATAGCTGCAGAAAATGGAGATTGCTGTTAGCTGTAAAAAAAAAAAAGATCAGCTCATAAAAAAGGATAATCAGGTGTGCTGCTCCACTACAATGAGGGCTTTGCTGCTTAATATGTACATTCTCATGGCAGTTCTTTTGTTCTCAGGTCACACTGTTATTTGTCCTACACTTCATTTGCCACAGCAGACTGACTGCCTTAATTAGTGGCACTCACCGAGAAACATTAATAAGTGTCCAACAAACCTGAGAGGGAATATATTAGAGTTCCATTTTGGTCGACAGTGACATTTCTCATCAACTGCCCCTCAGGTCGGTAATTTCACTGAGCGAGTAGATTCTCTGCTCGTGATCTGTCACCTGCTGGAGGTATGGGGGGGGATTTAGGTGGCTTAAAATTCAGACTGGAACGTGCACTGTCTCTATCCGGGCTCTTATATCTTCATGTTGGAAGATTATTTAAAAATCATTATGGGATTCATTCTCATAGATAATGTGTAAATCCTTGTTTTATTTATCTTACTGATGAAATCTCCCACTTTTGTCTGTATGGCTACACAATATAACATTTTTACTTATTATTTGAGCACATTCCGGACTTCAGCTTTAAAGTAAGGAATGATATCTTATTCTTAAACAACAAAGCTTAAAGCCTTTTATCCCCAGATCTCTGATTGTGATAATTGTGGGTAAATGAGTGCTTTGTGGAGTGTTTTAATACAACTTCCCCATCTCCCAACTCCCCCAGCCATCCCTATGACGTCAGCCTCTGAGAGCACTTGTGATGTGCAGCAAATCCAATTGATACCAGCCTAATACTTTTGAAAAAGGGGTTACAGGGAAAACCTCCATTTCATCAATCATCCAACAGCAGCCAAGAGCCTGACACTAATTCTGGCTTCAGATTCCGCCTAAAAACACAGGTGCCTATTCTCCTGACCCAAACCTCTAAATATAAGGACACATATAAAAGCAAAGGCTATAAAGCGTTCATAATAACCATAACTATTTAGCGGGAGTTTTCACAGAAACGTTGAGTATAATCTAAATAATGAAGTTGTATGAATAGCATAATGGGAACAGAACTCACAGAGATTAATGTACCACGCAAATATGTCCGCCATTTGCCTGACATCGGGCTTTGAATACAAAATGTCCCTATTATCATCCACACTCAAAGTTGTCCTGGGAGTCCTTCAATGTCACATAAAAGGACACAGATACTGAAAGCTGTTACATTATTACCACTGTATCAGGTTAGAAAAGTGTTGAGTTTAATCCAGAAGGAAAATGTAACAGGCTTAGGCATTTTCAGTCCCTCTCTACTTCCTTGTCATGCAATCTTTAGCTGGTCAGGTGTACGTTTCATGAGCCATAAATGGGTTCAGCAACGGGATGCATTTGAGTAGTGAGCCCATGTGGAGGCATTCTGTTTATTAACATATTAATATTATTACTGCAGACAATAAAACCAGTGATGCATTTAAAGCAGGCATCTCACAGAGAACCATTTAGCCATTTAGGTGGCATAGGTACAGTAAATGTACAGTAAATGCTCAACGCTAACATTCTTCCTTCTGTATTAATTCCCTAAAGGTGTAATATCATTTTAAAACCAACACAGGTGGACAAAATCCTAACAAAACATTTAAGTCAAGTTTTACTCATCCCACAAGTTAAGTGATCTTCCTGTTTTGTTTTGTTTTGTTTTTTACCTTCGGAGCAAAATTAACTAAATTAGAAACTGGGTTGATAAATGAGATCATTAAACATCTGAGTAACAGAGACAGATTCCGGGGAGGTGAGCGTCTGAATCCAAAGCTAAACTGCTGCTAGGAAAGTAAACCGACTGCCAAAAAAGCCGGAGAATAACACATTTCTTCAGTCTCTTTCTGCTGCTTTGCAGAGGTCTGAATAATTAATCTGTCTGTGTCTACTCCAGGGTAACAAAGCCTATACGATGAGTGTGAATCAGTGCTCCCTTTTCAACTTCAAAATATCCCGAGCTGAATCTCAAACCTCAGAAATCATTCCGCTGCACCTTCTCAGGCGCTTTCAGAAATGGACTAACACTTCAGTTCAAATGTTCTAAATTCCCAACCCAGTCTTCCACAATAAACAGTTAGTGTTGTGATAAGAAACAAAAGTAATCTACTGAAAATAACCTGTTTTCTTTATCACAGAAGTCACACATATTATGCTATCAAAGTATTACCATGGTGATCCGGTGTCTTGTTGAAAATGGCTTCATACTTGGCTGCTTTGCATATAAAACTGCCTGTTATTCAGCATAATGGGACTCGGCTGTGCTCCGGTCACCGGGCGTTATCACAGATTGTGAGTGCTCCACAAGTACTGCAGCACCTTTTAGATAACAGCTCTGTGGATTTCCATCCTGGACCAGGGGTCTCCAGAACACCAGACAGAGGTGAAAATGAATTCTGAAACACAACATTCTGCTTCTGAGGTGCTTCCGGTATAGAGCTGTGTCAGCCGATGAAGTCTCAGGCCACAGACCCTCCAGTTTAGACCAAAAGAATGCTAAAATGTTCCTGTTTTTGTTTTTAGCACAGTACTGCCAGCAGCCGCCCTTTTGTTTTTATCTGGTGCTACTTAGAGCTGTGCTTATGCCTCTTACACCTCCTATGACTTTGACGCTATTGAGACCTATCTGTCGCTGTTTTTGACCTTTTAAATTTGATGTGCATGATAAAATAAAGAATTAAAATAAAGAAAAACAAAACAAACCAGCGGTCCAAGCAGTCCAACGAAAAACACCCATTTTAAGTCTGTATCCACAAATACTCAAAACCCAAAAGAACTAAAAAGCCTGCCTTATTCCCGTGAATATCTGTACGCAGAATCACAGTTTAGCCACACAGGACAGACCACCCCCCCCCACAGGGTCACGTTCTGTGCTGTAAAAAGGTTGGGAGCTGAGCATGTAAAGCGGCCTGTAACGCTGACACCGTGCGTTAAAAACTGCTTAAGGGGCGCGTCGGTCTGCACAATAATACGGCTCACCGCTGCGCTAAAGAGACTCGAGTAAAAAAAAAAAGAGCTCTGCGGGAGGCCTCCTCTGCTGGGCGCTTTGCTAGCGCTAAGCTGAATATCAGCAGCACATATCTGGGGTTTTCTGCATCGGCCATTAAAGCTGCACGGGCTAAGCCCCGCTAGCGTCTGCTAGCTAGCGTGCGTGTACCTGCCCACGTCTCTAAGAAACAAGTCGTGGCTTTGACAGGCTGCCTGCGCCCAAAGAAAGAGCCGTCCAATGGCTGCAAAAGGGACCGAGAGCTTCTGAGAGGGAGCGCTCATTCAAGCGCGGCAGATTCTGGGGATTTAGGGAGCTCGTCTGCCAGCAATAAAAGGTTGAAACAGGATACTCGGTGAGATTAATTACCGAGATAGGCCGCGATAATGCCATTTAAATGGGAAAGTAATTAAAGTGCACCTTCCATGAAAATTATTCATTGCTGACGGATTGGGTGACAGACAAATCAGGAGCCATTTACAGAAAAGCTACAGGTTAAGTGCTCCGAGATGCTACTCTGAGACCAGCGCCGCTTTATTGCAGCTGCTGAATCTCAGCGCTTCGCCCGGCCCTCATCAAATTACAGCCAGCATGGGGGGGGGGTGGGCCGTGGCTGAAAAGAATGGGTTCCCAGGTAACGTAAAACCAGGGACAAATGCTACAAAGAGGATCCGCTTAACTCGAAAACTATACTGGCTGCCACTGGTCAGTGGGGACTCCTCAGAATCAATCAGTCCTTCTGTTTAAGGCCACCGTGGAAGATTACAACACAAAAAGGGGATAAATCAATGGCCTTATTGTTCCCAAGTGTTACTTTCACAAATGCGTGCGTAATATCCATTAGTGATGGTGGCCGGATCAGGGGAGTGGGCATATAGGTTTCCACTCATCTGCTTATCAATGTGCACTTATTCTGTCTTTCTTAACGGCTCCTAAAACACTCCAAACAACATCTCAAACTCCACTGTCCTCCGCTTTGAAGCCACTCCTCCTCTGGAGGACCGGGAGGCAGACGCCAAACAACTGAGAATAGCTGCTTCTCTGATAGTGCAAAGGCACAGATGCTCTTTCGATAAAAAAAAGAATGCTTAGCTTACATTCCCGTGTTCCATTGTGCTTTTCTCCCCTCTGCACAGAGGCAGCTCTGGAGGGAGAAGCCCGCTGGACTCTGGCGGCTGGAGCAGATTTGCGAGCGTATAAGAGAGAGAGGGAGAGTGTAACATCGTGTTACGCTCACAAAATGTCGCCCAACGGATGAAGCCAATAATGAACAAAGATGAATACTCTTTCATCAGCTTCTGATGCTAAATGATACCTCAAACTCATGCGGAGCTTTTAAAAACTGGATGTCATGGTGTGGCTTTTATCCAAGGTTTTGGGATAACAATATCAAATATTAGCAGTATTATGAATGCGAGGGCCGGACAGAGGAGGGCTACTGTGGACCTGACAGCTCTTGTCTGCTTAGAAAATTAACCAAGCACTTGATATTGTGATGTGGCTTTTAACTCTCTCTGTCAGTCCGCTGGTCGGGCTCTAATCTTCTGTATAAGGACCTATTTGTGTGAGCAATGTATTAAAATCATTTAGAAATGTTGGTGATAAAATGTTCCATGATCATTAAAGCTGCCAAAAAATCATTAACATCCCAAGTTATACTTGAATGTCTTCTATTTTATCTGTATCAATAACAACCAGTTCATCTGCATGGTTTGGAATTACCCAGTGCAACAGACACCTAAAGTATGTCCATTTCTGAAAAATACTGAAAAGTACACAATGTTAGGTCATTTGAACTGAACATGTCTCCTAAAAGACAAAGCCAACCTTTATGTACTAAAGTGTCATCCATTATTACGGTAATTTTGTTTAGGATTTTATTCAGCTCTATTTTAATTTACTTTACAAAACAAAACTACCTATTACTAAAAAAAAAACTAACCTAAACATCAATTTGTACACAGGCTGATCTGTTCTTTGTGCTGGCCTGTAGATTACAGTACACATCAGTCCTGTTTTCTGCTCTCAGCCAGAATCCCTAACGCACACAAACCCAGGCCCTTACCCCCGGCCCCCCACCCGCTCTGGTCCACACCCCAGAGTGATTTCAGCATTGTCAACACCAGCCTGAATACACTTTAATGGTAATTCTACGAGCTATGTCGTTTTACAAGTGTGCCGAGAGAACAAAAAGCCTTGTTTACAAGTGGAAAGGCACAGTAAGGCCCACGAGGGCTCCCGGGGTTGGTTCCCTGTCTCGCAGTGAAAGGCAGATGATTGGCAACAGCAAAGACAGCAAAACGTACCCAACGTTGCACATTTCTCTTCTCCCGCACCGAGGATGTGGCAGGAGAAATCAAGCGTACCGAGTTTGCAGTCTCCGCTTAAAATCATTTACGATGGCACTAAGAGGTAATTAGGTTAGCGAGAACAATACACATTTAGCACCTTGTGAAGTTCCTGCCTCATTCTTGACATTTCATTTGGTTTAATTAGAGGAGGTAAGAATTTCTCATCAGTTAAACAAGCATCTGCGCTCACATGGTGAAGTTCCCCTGCCTCATGTGAGCCGCGATCAGGCCGATTAGCCCTCAGAAAGCGGAGAGAAGAAAAAGTCCAACTAGCTTGAGGTTCTAAGCTTCAAGCAAGTGGCCATGCAAAGGTTAATCGGCTCTGAATGATCAGCAATACACGCTTTGATAATGCAGAAGCTCTCTAATGAATCTGTTGTACGCTCTTCTCTGAAACACAGATCACTTTAGGAATGTGTTACGCTCCATCTGCAAAGCATTCGAGATTTCTCTGAAAGCCCTCAAAGAGATAAATATGGTCAAGCTCCAAAAAACCAGATATGACAAGGTGATGACCCCCAAGATAGACAAAATGCATCCGAATGCTGAGAGAAGGACACTTCAGCAGGAATCGCTTTTTTAAAATATTGTTGTAACGGTGAATTTGTGTCACATGTTACATATTTATCAAACCTGATGCCCTGTGTTACACATTTAATTCAATTAGCATAGAAATCATACTTCTAGACAAGAACTCCTCATTTGTATGTTACCTGTTGACATATGCTTCTTTAGAATAAGATTTTTTACATCATAAATATTTTTTTTCATCAAACCAATTACACAATCCATCACCTCATTTACATATTAATTTCCCTCTGTTTTTGCTACTAAACACATTGTCATAAAACGTCTTTCTGGAAGGCACACACTGGATTCAATGGGCCGATTCTCCATCAGCAGTGTAATGTATTCTTTTCAGTGCGGTCCTCTGTTATTCTGGCTTTTATATTAAAGGTATTATTCCGTTCTGTTGTGGTCTTATTGAGCAGATGGAGGGGTCGCTCACCCCAACGGAATGTGATTAGTCTGGGAATCAAAAAACATTTAGTCCTCCATCAAGGTCTTCAGCTTGAGAGGCTATTCTCCAGCCAACTCAATTAAAGAATATTTCAAAGATTTGGTTGGAAATTAAGGGTAATCGTTACAGAGCGGAATTTTGTGGAAGGGACAAACAAAATTGCAGGTTAGCTGATCTATCCCTGCCAGCGCTGCTGATTATACTGCTACACACTGCTAAATGGTACCACTTAGTCAAAATGATTAACATGACATAGCCTTGGCCAAGCATGCTACTCCCTCTCACAGTAGATAATAGCCTCATATTCCAGTAGGTTATCTGGGTAGTAGTGTTTTGTCAACATGCCATGTATAATTATGACCTGGCTTCAAAGTGCATGTGTTAACTGTCTTGCTTCGGGTTTTTTTTTTGCCCGATGAGCTCGTCTCCTTGACCACACAACCCTGCCACGCATTCCAACTTCTGTCTTTGTAATAAGCCAAGCCACAAAAAACCATAACTCCTGCACATTTGCGCTGATGAATGAGGCTATCTTACAGGATAAAGGCTCAGCCTTTAACAGAAATACATGCACTCACAAAACCAAGGCAGACTCTGTGTTAGCAACTACAGTAGTAGCAAAGACCTCACGCTTTCATGTTGTAAAGACAGTTTTACAAAGGACACATATATTTAAACAGTGAAGCTAAAAGCTGAATTGCCACTATAAAGCTTTAAAGCTCATTACAGTTTTTTTTTTTACCACCGGTCTGTATGTAGTCTGTATTTCATGGATACTCAAGCATGAAAAAGGGAATGTTGTTGGGTGGATCCATAAAAATAAAGAATAAAAAAGGTTGTGGAGTTTGTCACAACAAAGCAAAAACATTTAATTACAGCTAAATCCCTGGAGAGTGAGCAGTAAACACACTACACTACACACAGTAACGCCTGGCAGTCTGCATCACGGCTATAAGAGTAATGTTCACCACTGCACTGTTATGCACTCTGAATCAGTTTAGGCAATGGACAGTGGACATATGGATAATGTAAGGACATGACCATTAATATTGATGGACATTACGGTAAATTATATATGAAAAGTTTTTCTAAATCAAACTGTTAATTGTGATGAAGTTGCATTAGCTTAAGAAAAGAGGGAGCTTCATCCTGACCTGCCTGTAATCAGAATCAGAATCAGAAATACTTTAATAATCCCAGAGGGAATTAAACGTGAAATTAAATGTGAAAACAGGCCTGAAATGTAACCTGAATCCATTCTAAGGAAACAGCTCAGGAATCAGAAAATCTGGCACTGATTTATTTGTTTACTCTCGTGTCCCAACAACCCTGGGACGAGACCTCTGCTAAAACATCAGGACGTCCACCCGTGAATTTTTTCTGTGGCCCCTCCCTCCTGTTCCAGGCTGGAGCCTGCCCGGAGCAGAGGGCAGTGCACGGCCGGACTGGTCATCAGAGGCTAATGACGCTAACCGTACAGCCTCTAGCGCACTTTGCTGAATACACAGTTGCGTAAGCTAACATATTTTTTGGGGACCGTGGAAAGACCGGAGTAAATTAAAACTGCTGATAGCTCACAAAGGGGAGACCACCTCCTCTGAGGCAGGCTCCAGATTCAAAGAGTGAAACTTTCTGCACCATGTGACACGTGAGTGTTACGCGGCAGCCATCTTTAAATCCAGAGGATGATTAAAAGATGGCCGCCTGTTCTCCTCTGTCTTGAAGGCACTGTAGTTGCCAAGAAACTGTTGTATTTAGGTCTCATTTAACTTGACAAAGAAGATTAATACCAGTCTCGAACCACAAATAAAAAAAGCTTGTCTTTTTTTTTTTACTTTCCTGATGACCACAGCTATTTGATGTTAAAGGTCTTACCTGCTTGACCCGTGGCGATGCTAACGGCCGCGAACAGCCTCTGTGTGCGGCTCATGTCCGACACGCCGTTGACCGCCTCCACCTCGAAAGTGTAGTTGGCGTGGGCCAGCAGGTCCATGATGGTCACGTAGGTGTCCACTAATCCCGACTGTGCGGGGGAGAATCCCACGTTCGGACCGCACGCTACGCACTCCTCCGGCTCCCAGGTGCAGCGCCGGCACACGGCCCTGTAGGTGACGTCGTTACGGCCCCCGGTGTCGGCGGGGGGGCTCCACTCCAGGCTGACGGTGGTCTGGTTGATGTTGTAGACCAGGTTCTGCGGCGCAGAGGGAGGCCCTGTCACAGAGGAAGCCCAAATTAGATAAGTGAGTAGCTAAGAAAGTGTCAGGCCGTGTGTGTGTGGACAGGATCTGCGCTTTCACTGTCCTGCGGAAAGAAAAAGAAAGGTACATGACACGCCGGCTCCATCCCCAGAGTCCAGCGCTGACACTCAATTATAATAAGAATCACAAGCAGAAATAAACGGCGCGGGCCCAGGGAAAGAAAGCGAGCTGTGGCAGACACCAAGGTCAGTTTAACAGGGCTGACAATCCAAGTAGCAGAGCCTCCACTTTCAAAAGGACTCTCTTTCCTCAGTCACTGTTCATGAAACCGTTTCATGTTAGTGTTAGTGTCATTCAGGCACCGGGGGGCCCCGGGGAGCCCAGTCTACACGTCCCGACTTTGTTCCATTAGTATTTCTCCAACTGAAAAGCCTCTCAGTGAAATGGATCACTAAATTATACACTGGGGTTTTATCTATTCAAGATGACTACTTGAGTGATCTATATTTTTTTATTAGAACAAGATTTTCAAATTCATTTATGAGTTTTTGTTCCTTAAAACTGACGATTTATTCGAACAGATTCTTTAAAGACAGACAGGCTGTAAAAGTAATACAGGCAGAGTTTTATCGTTGGTTATTAGATTTGAGTCAAAACACAAATCAGAAGTTAACAGCTTAGAGAGTTTATTTAAGTTTGTGTGTTACAGAAAACAGAGCCTTCTGAAAACCGGTGAGAGCAGGCGAAAAAAAAAAACTACTGTAATAATAATAATAACAGAAACTGCAACTACTATTTGTCTGGGAATTATATGAGTCAGGACAATTATTTGTTGTCACTACCAGTCATCCAACACACGAAAAGCAGCCACTAAAGGATGCTCCATCTCTAATTCTCACTGTAAACTCATTGAATGCTCTTCTACAGCAAATGGTGAAAAAACAGCCGCTGATCCACTGAGTCATCACCTTCTGTAACTTCCAGCAGAATAAAATCTGCATCTTCTGTGGAAACGCTGAGCAGCAAATGAGATGTCAGAGATTGTCAGTGAGCTAGTTTTTCTACTTTTTAAAAGTTTGCGCATCCTTTTTTAGCAACAATCGAAAACTTTACCGGGTTCCCTGGAAAAAGATGAAGCATGCAGATAGCAGCAGACTTTAAGTTAATGTCCTCCAAAAGAAATGATAAATCCTATTTTACCCTAAACATAAAAAAAATGGCTCAGACTTCAGAAGTGCACTGGACCTCATCCCACGCTCCTGTAAGTGTTCACATAATGATAAAGAAATTCAGACAAATGTCAGGGAGCCGTGGAAAAAAAAACGAGGAATGGCAAATTGATGCTTTCATCCTTCACTTTTGACTTTGATGGCTTGGATCTTGAAATACAAAAAAGCCTCCCAACAAATGTTGAATGATGGTTCAATTGTTAGACTTTGAGCATTTTATTTATGAATGTTTCAGAAAACATCCCCGTCTTCTCCTCCCAAGGTTCTGTTCTCTTATTTAATTTTCTTAGATTCCCTATTAGAGGGAGGAGGGACCTTGCGAGCCATTCCATTTTTCACATTGAATATATCAAAATGCATAATGTGAACGCATAATGTCCAAACTGCCATTGCAGTATTTGGGCCTCATTAATGCAGCATTTAGTTGTTTTCCCTTTTTTCTCGTACCAAGGGCAAAACAGAAAACATCCATATTCATGATGACGGGATAAGATAAGAGACAGAGTGTGTGGACGGGGGGAGATGAAAGAACCACCTGTGGCAGGTGAAGTGGAGAGGAGTGACGGCCAATAGAGCGCCACTCGACTCCGACACTTCCCCCCCCCCCCTCTACAAAGGGTCCATATGACTCAGTTCATATAGCTTTAGAAAAAAAAACAATGTGCCCCCACACACACACGCTCTTAAACCCTGCAGTTCGAGCCAAAGGGGTGTTTAGTCTACTGTTTCTGTGCTCGCGTTAAAAAGAGGATCAGACCTCCTCCCGCCTGTGTTGCTCTTATTCAGGTGCTACAGATCAAAGCTGTTTCTGTGCAGCAACAAGCGGGAGATAATTGGATGGGACTGGATGAGACTGGTCCAGAAGTAATCTTTTTTTCCTCAGGAATACTGCGCGCTCAAAAGTAGCCGCTCTGCTCTTATTTTCATCCACTCGCTTTATTTTTATGAACAAAACAGCAAACCAGGGTCAAATGAATGCGTTCCTGACTAAAAACTCTATTTCAAAACCCTTTCACTGCCTTAGTTTCACTGATATTTTACTAAAGCTGGTTTCCCTGAGGATCTACAGATGTTGAATTCAGAGCAGTTTGATTCCAGCTGCAAAAAAAGGAGGTGTGCATCTCATTAAAATAAGTAAATAAATAAATAAATGCTACAGGAAGTACAAAGCGTACAGGGCAACATTCAGCCCCTGACCGTGAACCAGTGCAAACAAACACAGGGTTTTTCTGATTAAACGGCCCGGCTGAACTGCCTGACTGAGCTTTATATGGAAATCTACTTAATAACTCAGCCCGACACGCAGATTCTGTTTGGGTGTGTGTGTATCGCGTTCACAGTGCAACAACCTCACAACCGCTGTGCTCAAAAGAAGGGCACCGTCATCCAACAAAGGTCCGACTGTGGTTCCTTCAAACTGAAGTGTAAGAGGGGCAGGGCGGTCATTTATCTGTGGTCATCTTTATAAGATGGAGTCCAGTACTCTATGACAGCAGCATGGTTTTTTAGTGTTTGCTTTATATTTTTTTTTTGCTTTTTGTATATATTTTAATCACCCAAATCTCTACGCTGTGTTGCTTCCTTGTATATTTGTTTGCTTTTGCTGCACTTTATGCACCTTTTCCTCCTTTTGAACTCTAACCGATGTGTGACCAGTGAATTTCTCCACTGTGAGATCAATAAAGCTCTTATCTTATCTTATCTTATCTTATCTTATCTTATCTTATCTTATCTTATCTTATCTTAAAAAGGTACTAGCGTCTTTCAACAGAAATGTTTCACACACAGACACACATATATTTTATGTATGCACAAAGATACACATGAATGTAACACATTCATATCTAAATGTTGCCGTCTATTTGTCTGGACTTGTTGGATCTGGGTTGTGAAATATGAAACTCCTCTGGTCCCCGCTCCACCTGCAGCACAGACTCATCCAACCCCAGAGTGTGTGTCTGTCTGTGTGTGTGTGTGTCTGTCTGTGTGTGTGTCTGTCTGCTCATCCTTCTAGCTCAGAGGCTCCTTTTTTACTCTTTTTTCTGTCACTTACTCGCCCACTCTGTCTTATCTTCCGTGTTCTCTGCACTCCCCCCTCCTCCTAGTCTGGTTTCATTTCACGGATTAGGCCGCCGGAGCCCCCACAGCCTGAAACGTCTCAATCACCAGCTTCCCCAAAAAACTCTGCCACTGTGACCGAACACGGGCCAGCGCGTCTGCGTGAGGGCTTTCTGCCGCCGTGCACAAATGTGGGGTTTGTCAATGCGCAGTTTTTACGGCATTTGCATGCTAATACGGCACCAATTTCTAAAGCAGAACTTTGTGACTTTTTGTGGAGGGAAGATCCGTGAGTAAAAAAGCGTCCAAACAGCCGATGGTTTTTAGGTCATGTTCCCATATCTGCTCTGTGTACAGTTGAAAGGCCTGAGTAAATCCAGGCTTAGGAGAGAAGAATGTGCAGCTTATCAACCTTGAGAGGTGCTCGGGGCTAACTTAACCCTCTTATTAGCTGGCTGGGCTCTAATTGGGGAGTGGCGCGGAGAGGGGCAGCAGGGGTGAGTGCTATCCAAATCACCCGTGAGCTAATCCTCTGTCTCCAAATGTGGGCTGGTTACCTCTGACCTCACCTCTATACATGGCCTAAAAAGGGACAGACATGCAGAGGGGGAAATGGACATTTGTTGTTGACAATACTTCACTTAATTCAGTTTTTACCTTCCTATTCTGACACAGTATTGGCCAAAACCCATTTTAGCCCTACAATGCCAGAGTTGGTGCATTCAGTTTTTGCATCATTTAAAAAATTTAACTCAAAACCCTGTTATACAAAATCAGATATACCTGATAACAGCGGGCAGAAGGCTGCACCACAATAAGTTTTACTTATTGCACAGTAATAAATGGTGATGATAATGATTTATTTTTTTTAATTGAAGGGCCAAATAAAGACTTTGAAACCAAAACTATAATATTTTCTCTATTTTTCCTTGGATCAGGCTTTAAAGGGTTAACCTTAACCTCTAGAGAATGTGTGATGGCACAAAAAACCCAAGCCTATTTTTAAGTCGAGCTAACACTTAAATAGCTAGCATGTGCTGACCCCTGGAACCATTCAAAGGAGGCCAGCGGAGCGTTGGGATGGTTGGTCAGGCTCGGCCATACAGTCTGAGACATGTGTGTCTCATTTTGAGGGAACTGACTGTTTTTGCATGTTCTCAAATGATTACAACATGGATGCAAAAATATGCGGTGGTTTACATCGGCTTTGCATGTGCATGACCAGGATGGGCACAAACACAATATTCACATAGCATGGAAATATGCATGGAAACATGTTCTTTAATCCTATGATTTGTGTAAGAATCCTTATTTCCCACAAAACAATTCAAATGGTACTGCTTTTAAAAACTCTTATCCAAAGCAGAAAAACCTGTGTTTGGCTGGTAAACTACTTCAGACCAAAATGACATTTGTGAAGGGACAGAAAGTAAAACAGTCCCACTGTCAGACAGATTTAAAAATAAAAGTTTTGGGTTTTTTTTGCTCCGTCTTGTGCTAAGAATAAATTGTTATCAGTAAGCATAACCTGACCCTCTTGAAGTAGCCTTAGCAGAAAAAGGACCTGGATTGTGTTTGTCTGTCACTCTGTGGCTCGAGCCCTCCCAAACCCACAGTCCAAAGTCCAGAAAATAATAATAAAGCAATTCAAACTGAATGAATTGATAATGATTACTGTACTACATAATGAATTGACTATTGAATAATAGTATGATTTTAAGTGAAATTCATTCTTTGAATCGGTGACTTGTAAAAATAGCCACAGCCCATCCAGTGAAACCAGTTAATTCTCCTCTCATGTCCAGTCTGGACGGGTCCTCTGATGGACGCCTACTTGTTGAGGTGGCAGGTTTTTTGGAGGTGGCGTGGGGGCAGGGTGAGTCACATGACCGCTCACAGACGCCCCCGTCAGCCCCTCGTTTACACCACATCGCTCCCAGCTGCTGCATGATTGATGACCTGCTCCCGGACCTGTCACAACTTAAGTCTGTATCTGTTTCCATCTTCTGGCATATTTGCATATGAATAGCGCGGACAAACATCCAACAAACAAAAGCATTTCTTCCCTCCGCCCCCCTCTCGGCACATACCACCGGGGAAACAATGTATTTGGAGCTATGTTTTTGGCACATCTTCCTTCATCTTTATTCAGCGTGTGATTCCGCTTTCCATGTCCCTACATTACATCTCCATCTTATGTCTTCTCAAATCCTCATAGACGCAGCCTTAATCTCTGTATGCCAGAGATCCATCTCTCTGTTTTCCTAAGGACTATGATATGGTGGCTACAAAAACCTCTAGTTAAAAAATCTGTCAATCAAGCTACTTATTCTGGTGAGTAAATTCATTTTCAATTACTATTCCCTCCCTGGCCGGGGGAGACATAGGGAAAGGAAATCACACTAACTTAATCCTGTCCTGAATGAGGAAATGCACGTACGGGGAGAAAATGCAAGAAATGTGCGGCTGATAGACGGCGAAGCCTTTCATACAAGTTAAAAATACATATTTACATATAATGGTACGGGGTCATCAAGTGACCCAAAGTTAATGAAAATGAATAATGGAAAGTGTGCATTAGGCAACTTCAGTAATTACTGTGCTGCTTGGGCAAGGTGATTACCCGGGAGGGAACAGCCAGAGGACACTGCCAGTGGGAACTTTCTCCACTTCCTCCTTCCTGATGCGTGTGTGCGCTGCCCTTGATCAGAGGGAGATGTTCGAGTGAAGCGTTAACATCCGATTAGGACGGGTGGAGAAGTGAGTAATGGACCTGTCTTTTAGAGCGAGATGTGCAACGTCGCCCCTCTTCCTCAGACAGATTGGTGGTTTGTTGTCACTGACCGGCCTCAGATTTGCTTAGCCTGCGTTATGACCTCGTCTGTGTCACGGGCGGGGAGGAACTGAGTAACGCAGATTAATAAGGCTTCCGGAACATGCCGGAACCCTGAAGGAGCACAACACACCTGAACAGACCTCAACAAGTCCACAACAGAGGTGACAAATGACTTAAAGACGTCTTCACGCAACATTGCTAGGGGAGGGAGATCCCGTCATCCTTCAACCAACCACATCCACCAATCACATGCAAAACAGCGCCTTCTCGTAAAGTAGCTGCAATCCGTTTTTTCTTTCCAAAGCCGTGAAACTCAACGAGGCGGTCACGTTTGAACGGGCTGATTTGGGTGTTTTGTTCCACCAGAGCTGGGTTTGATCAGACAAATGACGGAGCGGTTTCAAAGACTGAGTGGCAATAAAAGCAGGGGTGTGCCTCAGACTGCAGCACGCACTGAATCACGGCAGTAACCCGATGAGTAATGGACGGAATAACTGTTGAAACGAACACCTGAGCGATGTTGAGTCGGTTAAATGTAACAACATTCGGCACGTGGAAGCGGTTTCCCCTGTCGAGGGCGTCCGAAAAGAGCTGAAAACACAACTGAGATCCAGCTTTGCTGCCAAATTCTTTCTGTTACCGGCATGCTTTAACCTCTCACTCGATAGGAACCTCGAGTAAAATCGACAGATAACAGACAGTATATCACAAAACATGACTGAAGCCGTTCGTCTTGAATCAGAGGGTGTGCCCAGACTTCAGAAAACTTTAGGAAAAGCCAGCGCTGAACTATTTTAGCACCAACACAAAAAGGAAGCGGACTCTGGAGGAGCTGGCACACAGAGGGAGCCGTTTGGGACACACCCAAGTGCTTCAAACCCAAATTCCTCAGACAGTGAGAGGAACGCAGCTGGCCAGCACGCAAAAATGTACGAAAAGCCATTGTTTGTAGGAATTATCCGTTGTTTAAGCGGAGGGAAACTTTGCATCTTCCAGCCAAATGTTATGAGTTGTCTCTCTTTTTACAGCTGGTTTTTTCTTTTGAATTCTTTCCCAAGATGAAATATCTTTACTTTAATGATAACCACACTACGAGCAGAAAGAAATGAAAGAATGTCAGAGAAGTTTCCATCCCAAGACCTCTGGCAGTGTAAACACACCTGTGTACAGTGTGTATAAAAAAAAAAGCTTTTTGGGCAAGCAGGGACAGACATGTTGCTGGAGCAAAAACGCTCATAAAAACTTCACTCACAACTCCAAATCCAAACTCAAATGCCTGAAATCCACTGCCTGATTTAAGGCACGGACTAGAGCAGGGGTGTCAAACTCCAAAACACAGAGGGCCAAAATCTCAAACCTGAACAAAGACGCGGGCCAAGATTGAACAAATGAACCTTTTAATGTGGAATAAAACAAATTTTGCTGTAACATTGAATATGGAACAAGCAACTCTCATTACATTATATATAACTTAATAGTGGAGAAATCCAATTTCAAATAAAAAACACATCAATGGCATTAATTTATGAACTAAAAATGAACAACAGCGGGGCATTATGGGAGTTGTAGTATGAGCGGTTAATGCGCTGTACAGTATAAAGCTTATGCTTCATCCTACTCCTTTTTGAAACATGATGCATGTTTATGAAGCATTCTATGTAAACATTGTTAAATCATATCATGTTTCAAAATAAATTAAATGAAAAATTAAATTAAATGAAATCATTTGGTATTGTCTCGCGGGCCAAATATAATTACAACGCGGGCCAAATCTGGCCCTCGGGCCAGAGTTTGACACCCCTGGACTAGAGCAATGCTACACAATGCCACTTTCTGTGTGAAATCACCCCTGCTTTCACACAAACCCACACATAAACACACAATTAGGCTTGGCCTACTTTATGTGACCTGGTAAAAGAAAAGATCACCTTTTCTTTTTACCTAGCAACAAATTTCTAATCCACAAGTGTTTGTAAAAAAAAAATCAATAACATGAGTAAAGAAATATTTATCTTTGTTAGCCTTATCGGACACACAATGATAGAAAAGTATGTGCGAGCACACGGCAGCTGTAAGGCGCTGTGTGTATCCTGTGATACACTATCAGCAGAGAGAAGACACACAGATAAGGTGAGCAGATTTCATTTAGGGCTTCTGTTTACCCACAGAGATAAAGCCGAGTGCTAACACCAGCTCCACTCCTCCGCGCACAGTAGCTGATTTCAGACTAACAGAAAAGGAGTGAAAAAGAAAATCAGCACAAACATCAAAATAGGACGTGGAGGCAAATGAGCCTAATCCGTTCCGACAGAAACCCCCCCCACACACCGGGTAAACAGAACGTCAGTGGCTGTCACAGATCCCGTACACTGACCAGGACAGAGAATGGCCGTCTCTCAGACGGGGGAAAGGGCAAATTGCTCCTCACATCATTAGTAAGCAGCTAAGATAGAAAGCAGACACCCGAGCCTGTAAACATAATTATGCTGACATATTGGGAGGTGGAGGAGCTGCTACGGAACACATCTGTGGCTTTCACGGGTCTGGTTGTGGAGCTTTTTTTCCCCTCGCTGTAGAGCGGATGGTGCTGTTTAGCTAGCGACGGGACTTACGTGTGCAGGCCACAGATGGAGGGTCAGAGATGGCCCGATAGTAGCCGTCCTCACAGTCGCAGCGCCAGGAGCCCTCTCGATCATTAAAGCTGTGCACCGGGCAGCGAGAGCACTGCAGGTCCTGGGAGGAAGACTTGTAGAAACCCCGGCCACAAGCTGTGAAGGGAAGGAGAGAAGTTCAGTCTACTAAATATCCACTATTCTCATCCTGAGAGAAAAAGCATCTTTATTAATGCATGAATAACAGCGTCAAACGTGTTTTGTAATCCATTGATTTCATTTTTGTTATTTAAAATTCTTTTTCGCTTAATTTTCTTTTATGTATTCCTCTTCTATCCTTTGTTATGCTTTTATTTTATCAAAAGCACTTTGTACATCAGATGTGCTATGCAAATCAATTTGACCCGACTTGTCTACAGATGTGACTAATTTGCCACATGCTGAGGTAGCTTTTTAAATTTTTTGTCTTAATTTGTTCAGTCGACGATAAACATGACGAATAACAGCAAATCCACACATTCAATAATATGGAAGGAGCTGTTAGGCTTTTAAAATGACATTAAAAATGGCCGCCAAGTATTCACGTGTCCATGGACTGGGTAGGTAAGCATTATAGCACCGATAGCACAGGATAAACCAGGCCCTAAGCTTTGTGGCTCCGCACTCTCTCTGAAATCATATAGAATTACGAATAAAGTTGAATTGAATCGTTTCACTTTCCTGTTAAACTTACTGTCCAAAACTTTTAGAAAAAAAGGCATCTCTGTTTCACGGAGCTCTTTGAATATCATGTTCCTGATAACCACAGCCAGATTAAAAAGTGGGCGAAGTGAGAGAATGTTATGGCTGTGGGTGGCTGAATCACGCAGACTGTTTTCAGTCCTGATTTCTTCCTGCTGTCGGCTCTAAAAACCATCCCTGGGACCCGGGCTGTGGGTCTGGGTCTGGGGAGCCTGCAGGGCTCTCGTGGTGAGAACACATGCCAGAAAAGCACAGCGAAGGCCGACGTGCACGTTTGCCAAAGGGAGTGTGTCACGCTGCCGACTCAGCGAGTTCTTACAACCACGTCACTTATTGGGCTTTTCAAAACACTCTGCAAAGAGCTGCTGTTAATGCAATGTTTGAAAAACCAGATAGAACAAACCGTTATGTACTGTGTGAGAATTCACATTGAAAATAGTATATTTTAACAGGTATCAGCTCTGAGATTCCCCAGCACTGTGGCAGACTCAGACTCTCATTTGTGACTTGTTCAGTGCTAAAAGTTTCATAGGAACATAAAAAACCCGGGCGTTTACTGTCACCGTCGCTGGTATGGAGACGTAAGCCGGCTCCTAATTTAAACATCAAAGCCGCTAACTGAAGTGACGAGTGTGTGAAATTGTCAGATAATCCGAATGTGACTGAGGCCGCCGGCTAAATATGTAAATATTGTAAAGTTTAAGCGGTTTTGATCTGAAATTCAACAGATGTCTGCGACTCCCCCGGCCCCGTCTGCTGGAATATCCCGGCTGAGCCCGGCTCTCACAGGATCACATTCACGATGATCTCAGCAGCCATTACAAATCACTCAGTGTCTGGAGGTGATGTTAGTCCTGTGCAAACACGGCCTGAAAGAGTCCTCACTTTACACCTGAGTTCCCATCATAAAAAGGGCAAGACAGAACAAACCACTTTGTTCACTCGGTGGTGAACGCGGTATTTGATGGAACCTGCCCTCTCAGGGTTCATCAGGCAGCCTGAGCCACGCTAAATCTCCCGCTGAAGCACTCGCCCGAGGAGAAATCACTACCCGAAGAGCAGAGTAACAAGTCTATTTCCAATCGGAGGGGGTCCTCGGGTCAGCAGAACGGTCAGTCCTATCTGGGAGAGGAATCATTCTGCATACGGAGATAAGCGCGCAAACGCGAGGCAGCAGAAGATTTATGTTCCCAAGCCCACAAACGCACACACACACATTGAAACAGGGTCGCTCTAAACAGATCCCGTGAGTCACTCTCACTCAGAGATAATGGGCAAACTACAAAGAGCGGGATTATAGGTGTGACTGTTTCTGACTGATTCACACGGCCTGGCTTCATGTGTTTATGTGCAAAGCCAAAACAGGCCAGAAAACGGAGGTTTGTGAATCTATACTAGCCTGATTGCTCTCCATACATCCTATCAAAATGCTAAAAACACAATTCACATAAATCGCTGGAGGAAAAGAGCCTCCAATCCCTGATCCTACTTCTCCTTTTTCCTGTGCCACCAGCTTCTGAGGGGAAGAGGGGGCACGGAGGAATCTTCGTGTTCTGGTTTTTCTGTTTGCACCGCGGTGAGAAGACAAGGCTGAGCTTTAGGGTATCTCCATTTCAGCTACATGAAAGTCCTGTCATACTCTATTTATCACCCCGCTGCAGCCTTGTGAAACAAGACCCTTTTTTTCTGTGATTTTATCTTTAATCTTTCTTTACCTTAGCCAGAGTAATTGAAAACAGACCCACGAGGAGGTTGCGGGACCTGAATGCTGACTGTGCAAAAACCTGCCTCCAAACCCCCTCAGGTGCTTACTCATCATATCATTCAGCCGCTTTTCACACTGTGTGCAGTTCTGACGAGCCACGGGCGTTCAACAAATGGCAAAGGAAGCCATGTGTGGCGACAGGCTCTGATAGGTGGAGCAAACAGTGCCACATACAGATACTGAAGGCTAAAGATTGTCCCGATCTCCGACCAGTTTTTGATGTTCAAATAAGAGTCTTAACAGAAAAAAATGTTATTTTTCGCATCGTGTATCAATAATTTCAACTGCTCCCGTCCAGCATGTTTGACTCAACTTTACTTCCATGATGGATTCCAGTTTTGGATGAGGACTGAGGACAGTACTGAACTGGGTGCTATTGAAAAACTGAGGCCAGAAGATAGAACCATGCTCAAGAAGACAATTGTATTCATCATGGCTGCTTTTACACGATCACTGGTAACTTGGCAAAGTAATTGGAATTGTAACAGGGATACAGAAAACGTAGCAGCTTCATTTTTAAACTGTCCAGTCTCATTACTGCCACCTGACTCTTTCCATTCACAAACATGTCGGAATGAAGGGGTGAGAAGCAGTAACACAAAATTCCTCAATGACTGAATGACAAAGAAAAAGGATGAGGCCATTTGGTACGAATAGGGAGATTCCAATGGATTTTCAATGCCTTTAATCCTTGAGAACAAGAGTTAAGACAAGGCCAAAGATTTCAGAAACTAGATTCATGGATGCTTTTGCTGTTGCAGATGTGCGTATAAACTGCTATCTGCTCACATATCAGCTTGAGTAATTCTGCTGCCTCTCGGACCACCTAACCCTAACCCTAACCCTAACCCTAACCCTAACCCTAACCCTAACCCTAACCCTTGTTCAGGCCACGGTGAGATTATTGCTCATCAAAATGTAAATAACTAATAAAATAATAATAAATAACGGTAAATAAAATGACAAAGCCTTTTCCTAGAACTCACGGTGAGATTATTGCTCATCAAAATGTAATGAAATAATAAAATACTAATAAATAACGGTAAATAAAATGACAAAGCATTCTCCTAGAGCTCAAACGCACACTTCGTCTCGAGCCGAGGAGTGAAATTCAGTCCCGTTTTGGGTTTTTTTCCCTGACGACATATGTGTTTACCAGCGAGCCCGACTGGCTCTGGCACCCAGAGATGTTTAGAGAGCCAACAAGGCGGCAAATGAGGTCCCAGAAACGGAGCGTCTGCAGGACACAGGCGGCTAAGTGTTTCTGCAGCCCCCCCCC